GGCAGTAGGAGTATCCAAAAAGCGTGCACGTGCACAGTACGTGGGACAGCTCGCAGCGAGCGTGCGGTTCGCACGCGATCTTTGCGGGCCTCCCGAACACGTGACCTGACCTTGCTTGCCTCCAGGGTATGATCGACGCGCGGTGAACGGCGGCATCGCCAACTTCCAGGAGGCGTTCTTCACGGCCGAGTTCGCGACGCAGCCTCCCGAGCTGACTGTCTACGTGCCGCAGCTGAAGGCGCTCATCCAGGAGGAGGTGGGTAGCGTAGCCGGACGCCGCGAGAGGTCCTAGCTGTCGCGAGACCGTGCGGCGGGACAGAGTGGTCTAGTGGGCACGAAATTCAGACATCAAGATCTGAAGCCTGACAACTTGTCGAGCTTCGGGTCTTGGTGTCTGGATTCTGTGTCTTGCTTCGTAGGAAGATCGTTGGCGTCGATTCGCTCACCAGGAATGGTGTTGCTAGCCGTCTTTGCTAAACCATGCGTCGATGCATGTCTGGCAGCAAGTGGGGTGCACGGGGACGGGTGCGAGACCAATGGAGATTCGTGAGTGATCACATACGGTGTGCTGTTTGTTTTGTCACCGCTGCCAGCTCGCTGCTGATTCATTTTGGGGAGAGGCCTGGCACCATGAATGACCTCTGGCGATGGATCGTCTTTTAGGCACCCGGTTGTTTGACCGAAGGCGGAGCTGTTCACGTGCCTTTAGGATGGTCCGGACTCTTGCCTGCATTTGCCGTTATTGACCGTGCCTCCGCCCCCTGCCCGCTGGTCATGCCGTCCTCGTCTCATGACGTCGCGTGCCGTCCCTCTCTCTGCAGCTATCGATCCTGGAGCACGGTCTGAAGGTGCACGGCGAGCTGGCTCCGCCGAGCGTGCAGCCGCTGCACCGGCGGCTGCGCGAGTGTTTCCAGCAGCTGCGGCAGAGCGCGGCCGCCTCCTGTCTGCCGGCGAGCGCCGACTCGCCCGGCCCGGCCCGGCTCAGCCGCCAGAACAGCCACCGGCGCAGTGGCGGCGCCGACAAACCGAGCATCATCAGGTCAGCCGGCGCCCCGCGCGGCCCCGCGGGCTGAGCGCCTTCGGGTTTGGAGAGACTCGCTGCTGGGGAAGCGAGCGGTGCTCTGTAAGACTGCTATGCGGACCAAATCCAAATCTTCTGCACGACGTACGAAATTTCAGAGCATGCTCCGTTGAATGTTTCCGTTCTTTGCATGATCCAGTGACTGTTGTGTTACCATTTCATGCTTCGGCACATACCTGTGCTGTATCTGCACGTTATCAGTTATCTGGAGCTCCACGTAACTTTCCAGCGGGTTATCATCTTTATCTCGACGTCCATGTTCTCGGTCGTTACACCCCTATGGCGAATGTCCATCATCCCGTACTCAACAGTTACTGAAAGCGTTTCTCGTCTGCCGCTCGCCGCGACCGTCAGTAACCTTGCCGCCGCCGCCGCCGCCGTCTGTAACTCCGGCTGTGTTGGCAGCACGCCGCTACCGCCGCTGCCATGCGAGAAGCGTCCTCAGAGCTCGTGCCCGAGCAACCGCTCGTCCTCGTCCTCGTCGTCCGTATACGGCCAGCTGGTGGTGGACGAGGAGGACGGCATCTACTCGCGCCCGTCCGAGTGGGCGGAGCTGGGCGAGCGCGGCGAGCGTGGCTCGCTGGGCTCGCAGGGCAGCGCCGCCGGCCGACGTCATCATGACTACATCATCATGTCCTGTGGCAAGGGGTCAGTGCTCGCCGAGTGCGGCCGGCGCCGGCCACCGCGGGCAGATGGCACCCCAGACGCCAAACACGCTAGATTGTATATGAGCGACCCTTTTGCCACCACTCCTGTGTTCTAGTTTGAGTGAGTTGTCGATAGCCGCTATTGCAAATTTGAAGTAAATAATGGCAAATAGTAAACAAATGTCGTTAAATTTATAACCGTATTTGTCGTGATGTTCACTAGCGATCAACATGGCTGTGGCGATTAGGATGTTCAGCTCATGACACATTGAAAGCCTTTCGGCCAGCTGGACCCGGTTGTACACGTCGAATGCCGTGACTTGTTCCCTTGCGGTGACTGCGCCAGCTCCAACGACCGTGGTATGGGCGCGGTGTCGGCCGCTGACGGCCCTGCGCCGCCGTTCCAGTGAGAGCGAGGTGCCGGAGCGGCCGCCGAAGCGCCTCTCGGACGCCCGCTCCTGGACGGAGAGCCCGCGGCTCGGGGGCCGCAGGTCGCAGGCCAGTGACGCAGACCCGGACGCGCCGCCGCTGCCGCCCAAACGTGAGAGATGGCGGCCCCGTGGCTGACGCGGCCCGCGCCTCACGAGGCTTAGTTATTGTTTTTAAAATGGGTTGTTTGGGAAAGGCGGTAGTTAATTTTGGCCAGTCATTGCAGTCCAATATGGCTCGCAGCAGAGTCAGGTTTTCGTCAGCCTTTTCTGCGGGGTCGTCGCTGTTGTAACGAGTCCCGCCTTGTGATGCGGCGTTTGTTCCTGCAGGGCGTAGCAACGCAGACTTTGTGACCACTGATGAGCCTTATACCAGTGCTCATCAGTGCGATAGGCTGGCCCAGATTTTGACATGGCATAGGCATTTTCCTATGAGGACGCCTTACCGCGGGAATTGCTGATATTTGTAGCCTGGTTTTCTAGTTATTTTAGTTATATTTTATCTTATATAGTATATATGTGCAATTTCATATTTGATATATATATATATATATATATATATATATATATGTAATTTATTTTATATTTTATTTATTTTATTTTGAGTTATTTTTTACTAGACATTAGTGATGCCCGTGTTGCGTGACCTTCGTCCGCGGCACGCCCGTAGCTTACAGCCGAGTTATACTAGTATCGTTGTAAACAAGTCCTGCTTACTGAACATGGTGGCGGTCCGCCGCTGCGTCGGTTGGCTGTTGGTTCGGCAGAGCGCTGACGCCCTTGTCTGTCGCAGCCCCGGAGAAGCGGCACACCAGCTCCAGTTCCGTCTCTTCCGTCACTTGCAATGGCGTGTACGAGTTCCCGCCGTCCCTGCCTAGCCGCATGTCCAAGAAGGTGCGGCACTATCCGGTCTAGTCGCCGGCGCGCCGCTTTGGCCCGCAGTCCGCTTCTCGTGGGGATTATCGCAATCGGAACTCAAACCCCGGACGACAATGTGGTTTCGAATTGCCTTCCTGGCTTTGCGGGGTCCGCAAGTGGTCGTTCTGAGTTGGTTCTGTTGTGTGGATGAGTTCTTTCGTCAGAGGTATTGAGTCATTGTAAAGTACCAGAGGTGCTGGGTTGTGATTGGTGTCGTGCGTATCCCGCCAGACGTCGCTGTTGACTGTGAGTTCTCTCTTTTCTGTCTGCATTTCATTAACGCCGCTCATCGTCTTCTACTGTATCCCATATTCCCGTCCGCCAGTTTGACCCTACCTCTGTTTTGCATCTGCCCTCCGTCTGTCTGACCGGCGTTTTTCCCGTGTGCTGGGTTTCACGTCTCTGTCTGCCTCTCTACCTGCCGGGCGGAGGGCCTCTCATCTGTTTCTGCGTCCACCTGACTGGCTTCCTCCCTCTGTCTGCTGTGCCCTTCTCTCTCCCTTTCCGTCCGGCTGGCGCTGTGCCTGACGCTGGGCCACTCGCCGCAGATGTCGTCGCCGGCGCTGGGTCACTGGGCGTCGGCGGAGCGCGGCGCGGCCGGCACGCCGCCGCCGCTGCCGCCCAAGGTGCCCGCCTCGCCGGCCGCCTCGGTCAAGACGCGCACGCCCTCGCCGGCCACGCTCTCGCTGCCGAGCGACCGCGGCAGCCTGCCCGACTGCGACAGCCCGCCCAACTTCGAGCCGCCGCCGCCGCCGACGCAGGGCGCTGTCACGCGTGTGGAGCTCAACGGTGACGACGACATGGACACATACAAGGTGCTGGACTCGGCCGAGCTGCGTGGCTACCGCGAGGAGGCCAACTACAAGTTCTTCGTGTCGCCGGGTCGCATCTGCACCGATATAGTCGGCCTCGGCGAGAAGAGGCCCGAGTCGTGAGCGCGCGCGCAGCGTCCGAGTGTGCTTGTGCGAGTGCTACGTTATGTATACCAAAGAGGTGCGCGCTCGCACGTCGGCGTGTGCCGCGCTACCCGGCCGCCGGAGGCCGCGCCACCGTGGTCCGGACCCGAACTAGTCATCGAGTCGCCGAGCGGGCCGCGGCGGCTGACCGCGAGTGACCTAGCAATAGAGCGGCGGCGCCCCCTGTGATACGGCCGGCGTCGGACCGCGCCGCGCGCCGCCCGGGCGCCGCCGCTGCCTCATACCCCGCCGCCCTCATATCTCCCTCATTCGTGTGCCGGCGCGCGCCGCTGCCCGCCTTCGTTGTGCGTCTTCCCGCTGAGTGGGCGTGGGGAGGGATGGTGCTAGTCGAGAGCGGTGGGGCGCGCGCGCTCGAATGCCAGCGCTATGCTTAAAACGTGTGTTATATCGAAGCCAATAACATGGAGATTTGTAAACGGGGTTTTGCTGGTGATGGCCGGTGGCAGCAGAAACGGATCGGGAGATGGCGAGGAAGGGATTGGACGGTAATCTCAACTCAGATGAAATATTTCTCGATTTTAGAAGTTAGTACCACACAATTATTGGTACTTGGGTGTCAGGCTTACCTTGCCCACCTTTACCAGCTAAAGGCTTTTTACTTTGGTGGCAGTTGTTTCATTTTCACAGCAGAATGCTTCAACAGTTTCCATGCGGTGAAAAAGATGTCCATGTGTCAGCCTGCGTCAGGTTTAGAAGTGTTGACAAGTGAACGGACTATTTTTCTGACGAAGGGCGTCATGGCGAATGGTAAAAGTGCCGGACTTCCACGGGGGCCCGGGTTCGAATCCCTGATGCGCCATGGCCTCCCGGCGCTAACATGGACAATGCAGTCGCTGACCTTACATGAAAAGGTGTGGCGACGTGCGTCGCGCGCCCCTAAAAAAGTTTATGACGCGTATTGATGATAATATTGTTGAAGAATTGCGCTAACCATGGGAAATTTGTTGACTTGAAGAGTGTGGAGTGAAGATGTGGTATAAAGGAGACTCCGAGAAAGAAGGTTGAGTAATATGCTATGAACAAAACAACTTCAAGGAGTAAATCAAAACGTAACTTACCTTCAACGTAAAACCAAAATATAGTGTACAAAATGTGTTAACATGCGCCCGGGCGGCCGGTTGCTTCCTTCGATTGGGCGAGTGGTCAATTTGACCCCCTCCCCCCTTGAGATCTCAGGAACTAAGTAAGCTAGAAACACCAAATTAACAGGGTGCATTGGGCTGTGTGGTTCCTAGGCCTTGACTTTTAGACCAAATAAGGTTAAACAAGGCCAAACTCTAAGTTGGTCTCCAAAGTGCCCCCAGAACCTAAATGCGTTTTCTAAGCAAAAGGTGACATGCTCACTTAAAGTCAGTTACCTTGGTTGATCTTTTGAACGTCATGGCGACCAAAATGGTGCAAAACTGGTTTGTGTTTTGCATTCAAATAAGCGACAAAGATTGCGCTGGGCAGTATGCTCCTAAGAACAAAATGTTGACCTGGGTCCTTTGAGGTCAGTCACCTATTCTGACCTTTAAGAAGAGCATGGAAGATGCATAATACGGTTTCTGTTACCAATAAATTCGACATAACCATTAGAAACTATCCCATACAGCAAGCTCTCGAGTAATAAAACAGATTGGTTTTGACCTTGGTCTGACCTTCATGCTCGACCCCAGGTCAATTAAATCTGTTTATTCAGTTGTGTTGTCTAAGAGAGTATATCAGAGATGCATGGCTTCATTTAAATATCCGCTGTTGCATCAGACTGAACTATTCCCCTAGAAATTGACCTCGCTGAATCTATGGCCTGACTTTGACCTGCCGTGGGTCAGCGACCTTACAAGGCGCGCTTAAATTTGCGAAAGCAAGCGATTCACTATTTAATTGCATACAGTCATGCAAAATTTTGCGAGGCTTCGCCGCGCCGTTCCGAAATTATTCCGAAAAAAACCTTCGGAGGAGGTTAATTTGATCCCTCACCCGAGCGCGTGTTTAAGAAGTGTGCTAGTAATGGGCCGTCTCGCAATGAATGCACATGCGCCGATTATTACTTTTACATAATAATCGACGCGTGAAGGAAGCTATGAGTTTGTTCGCCGTAGCTCATACTTGTGGCGTAGAATGCTCTGGCATTAGTTGAAAGCTGAAAATAAAGTTAGTGGAAGTTCTGTGGAAAATAATACCACAAGTCTTACTGGCAGCATGTGATAAGTAGTTCTGGCCGAAGTTCAGATGTTCAGCGTGTTTATCAGTGTTCATTGTGAACAATACGGAGCCCCGGCAGGCTACCTCCTGACCGCGGCGCTCATTCGGGAAACAAAAGATTTGGCCACGCTTAAGCCGTTTCCCAAGAATGTAGCAGGAAAATACAGCGTGTAGTCTTAGGAGATTTGGTCTGCGGACACGTATTCCACGCAAACTATCGGGTATGGTGGAAATGACGCGTAGAAAATCTGAGGCCGAATGGAACTCAACCTTATTATAATGACAGCATGATTCCCTGCACATCAGAAAACCCTGATTATTTTAATCTGAGTGATTCCGTCCAGACTACAAATGTGGTCGGCTCATTCTGGCACTGATCGTCGTCGTCACCTCCGGGTCAACTTGGAAGTACTGAGGCACCTGGCTGAGGCTGGGGCGCTTTTGAGCATGTTTGGTGTCGGACCGGAAGTCACGGGTGGATCATCTGTCCGGAGCATGCCTTTGTCTAGTGTGTTAGTATGTGGTGTTATATGGGTGTGCATGCTAACATATCAGACGAAGGCGATATTTCAAACAATTATTTCATCCGTGTCACCTCCAAAGCGTTCTAATCCTTCCTTATAGAGAATGCTTCACACCTGAAGGTTCCGAAGCAGGCACCAAATATGATGGAAGAGACTCGTTTATAACTATTGGTGTACTTCTGATTTGAAAAGACTCCTCAAAACGCCACAATTTCTCTGTTTAGCAAATAAGCTCCTCGATACGTCACTGTTTTATTGTGTCATTGTACCTTGTACGAAAAAGACTGAGAGCCAATTGACGGCGGTTTTATTTGGGAATAATGCTCACAAATGCCAGATATGAACGATTCAACCATTATATTTTCCTCAGCCTTGATCGCGCATGGTATATGAAATGGTTATTATGACGTCATGAATGCCAAGGTGACCTTGAAATACTCCCTACTTTCGCAGGCGTGTAGCTTAGGAACTAAAGGGGCTTAGATCTTAAGAAGGTTAGGACTGTGAACTACACTGAACGATCTTCAAAATGTGTTTTTCAGTTCAAAACCCCATATAAATGCGGAACACTACCTTTAAACCTTCGGCCAGAAGATGGCCACTAACGAAAGACAATGGCATAACCCACCTGCATGGTTGCATTCGTCACTGAGACAATGTTCACCATAGCGAAGGCCTGGTTATGCAACACACAGCTCGGCCCACACGGCGGACAAGCTTTCCCATCAGACGCAGCACTCCGAAGTTACAAAACGACCAATGATAATGCAGGTGGCATGCAAGCGTTTGTCAGCGAGTCGCATCGTCAAGCGTCAAGCGCTTCTTATCACGTGTTCAGTTCGGCGAGTGAGTTTCAAGAGGACTTCATTGAATTGATTGAGTGGGACGACGGACGGATGGACGAAAGTATGATGCATATATTTCTGAGCGGATGCATCGATGAAATGAGACGGATATGGAATCGACAGAAGCGGAGTAAACTGATGCGTTTTGGACGGTTTGCACGACAAAGCCTTCTTCAGAAAAGTCCATTTAGAAGCCAAATGCTCGCTTTCATAATGTGAAAGGAGTACACTTAACTGATGCATAACTATGCACGCTGGCAAAAAAGGGTGCGAAAATTTCAAGGCGTGACTCCACCAAAGCCCAAAAACGGTCTCGGAACTAGGAATCCGAAATATGACAGATGTACCGGCTGTAGGAGCAACGTATTACGAACAAGTGGACCGCTCTCCCTCTGTACCCACATCAGTGAACCTATTGGTTTTAACATGAAACATGCCTGTCACAGTCTAAACTGCCATCTTTTCACTGTTGATACCTCACCGTAGGCGCTTTGTGGTTAGCGGCTGTCAGTAGCACCCACCTGCACCCGATATTTTGGTGCCTTCTTGCGAGACAGTCTCCCGCGCTCCTGCCTATTGACGGGATGCCCATCGTTGAACGTAGCTCGCGACGGTTCTTTCCCGATATATGGGACTCGGTGAACAGATGACTGCTCCAGTGGCACAGAGCGAGGCCGCGCCACCATGGTGGGTCACCGGACCGAAGAATCTACTTACAGACACACCATGACCACAGCCAGACTGCCGCGTCTGCGCTGGTCGGCGCAGAGCTTCCCTGTGACGTAGCGATCCCCAGCAACCGCTGTCATGCTCTGGGTGGGAAGGAGCCAGTCGAGGGAAGATCCTCCAGGGTCAGGCTCGGACCAAACACATTCCACCTACGTTTGTACGCACATTGACCATCTGCGCCACCAATGTGTCAACTAACCACGACGGACAGTACATAGGATCCGCGCCGACCACTGGCGCTGACCGCACTGTACGTGATCTCTTCATAGGATCCGCGCCAGCCACTGGCGCTGACCGCACTGCACGTGACTTCTCGGCGCCGGCTATCCACCGCTCGGGGCAGCGTCGGCTGGCGACGACACGGGATGCACACCTGGCTGGCCGCACACAGCAGGGTGACGGGCCTTCTGGAGCCAGGTGTCGGCGCCTCCTCACGGCCGCCGCCGTGCCCACGCCCACGCCGCCTCCCCGCACTCTGAAGCCTGGCACCGGAGCTGTGAACACGAATGCCGACGCCGCGGTGGAGCCGGCGAAACCATTCGGTCATGTGTAGAAGCACGCGGCGTCTGTGACTCATCCATATTGGCGTTTTACCGTTATTTGTGCGTGACTCGAAATTGCTCATAGCTGTGCGAGAACGGCTGGATCTTATCCTACGATACCTCGCTGCAAG